TATAAGTTGTATAAAAATTATAATAGCTTAGTGTTTAATTTCTCGCAAGGTTTTATCAAATATTATAACTGTCCCGAAGTCATGTAATAGACCTAGGGCTTTACTTTTCACACTTATATTTTGTATACTTGTATATATAATTGTTAGATGTATGCTAATAGGGTTTGTATGGTAAGACTAAAATCAATCGATAGAAAACCCTAATTCAAGATAAATATAACTGAACTGAACACACTTTTCACACTCACACCTCTAGGGTAACCTCTCTTTGTTGCCTTCGAATAAATGGTCATGTCCCTCAAAAGTAGGGATACTTTAGAAAAATACCCTCGATCAAATCATCATATCCATTTCGAATAAAGATCATAATCCCTCGATGACCCTTCGAGCTGCCTACAAAATGATCTAGTCCCTTCGATTTTCCTACAAAATGATCTAGTCCCTTCGAGTTGCCTACAAAATGATCTAGTCCCTTCGAGTTGCCTACGAAATTATGATAGTCCCTTCGATACAATTGCTAAAGTATCCTTACTTATTGCCTTCGATGACCATACGATGATCCTACGCTTGTCCCTTCACATCCAATAGATAGGGCTACCTACCAACTAATGGTATGGATAGTATTATTTCTAAAGGAGAAGGAAAACAATGAGAAATACTTTAGTGGGTAATAAACTCTTAATTGATTGCTCAAAACTTTTCTCAAAACATTTTTTCACACTACACTTTCAACCAAATATTTTCAAAAATAACACTTTGTATACATTTTTTAGGACTGATACAAGAATCATTATAAAGTCAGTCTTACATTGGCGACTTCAAGATATTTTTAAACACATTACACACACAAAGCAATATTTTTAAAAGTGATCTAAGTAATTAAAATTCCATAGATAATTATTAGTGAAAAGGGTGTTAACACCTTCCATTTTCATATCTTACCCCCTCGAAATCAAAATTTATCAAAGGTCTTTCCTGTTCTTTTCACCTTTTCTAAATATTGGATAAAAGAAAATTTGGCGGCGACTCTAGCTATCTTCACATTTGGATAAAACCAAAAAGTCAGTTCTCCCACCGTATTATAAGGTATCGTATGAATCACTCAATAGCTTGTCAATGTTCATTATTCGGTCTATAGTAACCCTACACAATAATCCCACTATGCAATATTAGATTTAGTACAATCAATGGAATACCTAAAACTTCCAATGATGCTCGCATATTCTGTTTGTTGAACACTTTCACTAGTGTTCTTAAACAGCTTCACGCTTGGATCATATGGTGTTCTCACAAGTTTAATGTTAAAGTAATTATATTTCTTTAAGATCTTTTCCACTTAGTCTGATTGATCCAAAGAAATTCCTTACTCAGATCTCGTGATCTTGACACTAAGAATTACACTCGCTTCTCTGAGGTCTTTCATATCAAAGTTGTTGCACAACAATGATTTCATATCATTAACGACATGAATATTTGATCCAAATAGGATTAGATCATCTACATATAGACATATGATAGTGCAAATGCGATTCTCAAATTTGTAATAATCACATTTGTCACTTTCATTCACTTTGTACCCATTCGATATCATTAACTTATTAAAATTTTCATGACATTGCTTTGGAGCTTGTTTTAGCCCATACAAAGACTTATCTAACTTACAGACTGTGTTTTCTTGCCCCAAGAATCTTAAACCCTTCTGGTTGGTCCATATAGATTTCTTCTTCTAAGTCATTGTTTAAAAAATCTATTTTAACATTCATTTGGTGTACTATTAAGTTATAAATAACAACTATTAAAATTAGTACCCTAATGGATGTAATTGTTGTGACTGGAGAAAAATGATCGAAGAAATATATATTTTCTCTTTTCCTAAAACCTTTGGCTACAATGCGAGCGAGCCTTGTACTTATCAATAGTTCCATCAGGTTTTAGTTTCTTTTTCAAAAACTCATTTACAATCGATTAGTTTGTAGCCATGAGGCAAGTCTACTAAGTGCTAGGTCTTGTTAGATTCTAGAGAATCTATCTCATCGTTGATAACTTCTTGCCATAAATATGCATCCAGAGATGACAAATCTTCTTGAAGATTTATTGGATCTTCATATACATTATAAGCAATATAAGTCTTTAGTAACTCTTACTCTTTTACTTCGTCGAAGTTCTACTTCGTTGTTGCTTTTAATGTTGCTTATCACATGAATGTGATTCGATTCAGTGCCCCACTATTTCTTGATTTGAAAGGAAATTTGTATTCATAAAATTCAACATCATTTTATTCTATGATCACTTTAGAATTTAGGTCATAAAACCTATATGCTTGCTGTTTGTTGCATACTTAATGAATACACATTCATATGCTCTACTAACAAGTTTAACTCGTTTCAGATCCTGAATTATGACATAAGCCAGACATCCCCAAGTTCTCGAATAAGACAAGTTTGATTGTCTTTTCTTTAATATCTCATAAGGAGAGATCATACTTTTTTACTTGGAAACTCTACTCAGGACATAACAACCAGTCAATAAAATTTCCACCCACCAATGAGGTGCAACACTAGAATTCAACATAATTGCAACATCAATTTCAGTAAGAGTTCTATTCTTTCTTTCTACTTTACCATTCATTTTAGGATAGTGTGATACAGTCATTTTATGTACAATTCCATGTATAAAATTCATTAAATAAACTACAATCATACAGTTTCTCTATCACTACAAATTCTTACTAAATCATTTTCAAACTCTTTACAAAGTTTTTAAACATATCAATTTCATTCACAAATATATCATTCTTCATAATGGTGTAAAAATCTATCCCAATAGACTGACTAAACCTTGCCTTATTTAAAAGAAAACCAGAAACAAAATTCTTCCTAATCTCAGGAACATGCATGACGTCCTTCGAGATTAAAGTCTTTCTAGAGGTGAAGTTCAACTCCATGTCTCCAATTCCAGTAACATTAGTGGTGTGGGCATCTCCCAACAACACTTTTTTTATCTTTAGTATTTGTATATATTTTAAACATAACACAATCATAACAGACACAGCGAGAGATGCCAATGTCTATCCACCAACCATCAGATTTATCAACCATGTTGATTTCAATAATCATGGAAATAAATTTCCCATTAATCAAGTTAACTTGTGCATTAAAGACATCATCATGTTTAAGCCTGCTTATACATCTATTAGCCATATGACTTGATTTTTCACAGTTAAAACAAAGGGAAACCAACTCATTTCTTTAAGGGGGTGGTTGTTTCCTAGTTGGAGCAATTGGAGCCATCTAAGGGTTCTCATTCTTAATTTAGTTCACAATATTGCAATTCTGATTCTTTACAGGTTTGCCATATGGCTTCCAAACTGCACTAAATTTCTTTTTGTTGTTTAAACAACCAAGACTTTTTTTATCTTGTCTCTGAGACTCTTCTTCAATTCGAAGGCAAATAATCTGAGTTTCAGTTAAAAAATTCTTTTGTTTCATAGTAAAGAATTTTTTTCTAACTATGGGGCAATTTGTTAATAATAAAAACAATTTGAAAGTGTTCATATAAATACATACCTTTAGTGATGATCTCATGAGAAATCTTTCGAAGTTTGTGACTTTGGGTCTCTATAGACCTTTCATCCACCATATGATACTTCACGTAGTTGCTAAAATCATTCTTTTGTTCTCCGGCTTCTTCAATGTCAATACTTGTTTTTAAGAGCTTCATAAACCTGTTTTGGAGTATCACAGTTACTATAATAGTCATACATATCATTTGCGAGACCATTCAGAATGTTATAATCATTCTCTTTCTATAAGGAGACTTCTTCTCTTAGCTGTAAATCATTCGCTTTAATCTATGTTGTAAATTCATATTCATTGAAATTAACAACTCAATCTGAGTTCATAGATTTATTTCTATTTGTTTGTTCAACTGATCCAAATGGGACAGTAGGAATGTCATCGGTCAAAATATTGACAATCTTCTTTATGGTTAAGAAAAACTTCACTTTTGTTGCCAACATTTGAAATGCACTCCTTCAAACTTGAACGAATTGTCCGAGACAATCTTGGAAGTACCGATAATTTCTTCAGTAGCCATGGTAGTTTGAAACGTCTTATAATTGTTGTTTTCGATTTTGAAAATTTTGCCACCAGAGAAATTACCAGGTTGAGTCGCGGACTAGGTCGCTCTCTTTAAGTATTTCGCTGCACTGCTCAAAATTATGCAAAGCAATCAAATCTAGTACAAAGACCAGTCGTAATAATTTCTCAATCAAATAGAAACTCAAATAATTCTCCAAAGAGAATTTAATAATGATCATTTGACCACTCATAATAATTTCTCCAACAAAGAGAAATTCAAATAATTCTCTAAGAGAATTCAAAAATTAATACTTGAAAATTTCTCAACTCAAATGAGAAGAAATTAACATAATTCTAAAGAGAATTCAAGAAAATACTCGAGAAGAAAGGGAAGAAGTTGACTCTTCGACAATTCAAAAGACGCGGAGTTATGAGAGTGAAAAAAAAACTAACAAAATAATTTATGGTGTAATTTAAAATAAAACAATGTGCGACTAAATTCTTTTTTCAAGCACAACAAAAATTCTAATAATATGAGATTTAATAAATTTTTAAATTCAACGTATCGAAAACATTAACAAATCTTATTAAACATATATCGAATTTGTGGTGAATCTTGTTAAACATATATCAAACAACTCACTTAAAACATTAATATGAAAAGGATTTTGAAACAGGAACAGCCAACAAAAGACATACTACCTAGGATTTTGATATCGACATTGATATTATTATGAGTAAATAAATAAAATGTAACAAAATCAACGAAAGCAAAGTGGTGAAAATATGCCACCAACTCCCTCCACACGTTAGCCGTTGCCTTATCGTTGAGCTCTCTTTTGTTTCCCTCCAAACAATCTTCACCCTCAAATACACGTAGTAATAATAATAACCTTCATTCATCACTAGTTTATCATCACCATGGCTAGCAAATTATTAGCCTTCACATTGACATGTCCATGTCCATTCACTGTCTCTCCAACATTCTTATCATCCACTTCTGCTTCTAGACTCCATCATCCTATTCGATTCAATGCCGGCCGCCACTCTTGCCTTCGCCGCCGCCTATTCGAGTTTTCCCCCAAGGCCACCTCCGAACAACAGGAAGATACTGTTGTTGATAGTAAAATCTTACAGTACTGCAGCATAGACCAAAAAGAAAAGAAATCAATCGGTGAACTTGAACAAGAATTTCTTCAAGCACTTCAAGTATATATATTCCTTTCAACTCTTTCCTCTCATTATCATACGTTTTGCTGTGATGTGAGCAACTTTTGTTGATCGACTTGGCAATTTTATTGAATAGGCTTTCTACTACGAGGGAAAGGCAATTATGTCGAACGAAGAATTCGATAATCTCAAAGAAGAACTCATGTGGGAAGGAAGCAGCGTTGTAATGCTAAGTATGTATTTCAAATATTTGTTCAACTTCAACATTTTCTTTAGTCTTGAATGTTGATTGTGTATGCAGGTTCTTCTGAGCAGAAATTTCTTGAAGCGTCTATTGCTTATGTGTCTGGAAATCCAATCTTGACTGATAAAGAGTTTGATGAATTAAAACTCAAGCTAAAGGTTTTCTATTTCATCGTATTTATATATGAAACTTATACACAATAGTGATTTTTTCTTATATATGAGATAATGATTCTATATGGATTTGGTTTTCTTAGATGGAAGGGAGTGAAATTGTGGCTGAAGGTCCCCGGTGCAGTCTTCGTAGTAGAAAGGTATCATGTTAGAATAAACTCGGTTAAAGTTCCAATCGGAGAATCTAGATGAATGAATATAATTTTCTATAGAATTTCATGTATGTTTTGAAATATGCTATGTGTTTACTGTTAATGTTTATTTGTTACTAATTAATAGTCTTTTATATACAGGTTTATAGTGACCTTACTGTTGACTATTTCAAGGCATTGTTACTGAAAGTTCCAGCAACTGTGGTTGCATTAGGATTGTAAGTAACTTTACTTCTTTTAATTGATTACATTGTTCAAAATTATCACTAGTGTTAACGTGTTAGTGTTGTGTCGTGTCTGATGTTCAAGTCTGTGTCAGTGTTTCATAATCTGTATGACATAGTCTGAATGACACTGAGCACACGATCCATGATTGGAAGAACATTTTCGACGATTTTTCTGTCATATTTGTTACAAACATATATGTCATATTAACCATAGTTTGATTTTTGCTTCTTTTTTATTCTTTTCTCTATAATATCAGGTTCTTCTTTCTTGATGATGTAACTGGATTTGAGATTAATTATCTGATAGCGGTATATCTCCTCATTTTCCTTGTTCTAGCATCTCTAATTAGTGATTTAGATGCAATTGAAATAGGTTCATATTTGTAATAGGTTTTGTGAATGGTTAAGTGCAGATTCCAGAACCTTTCAGTTTCATTTTGACTTGGTTTGCTGCTGTTCCTTTCATTCTGTGGTTAGCACAGTCAATTACAAATGCAATCATAAAAGATTTCTTGATTCTGAAGGTATAGTTTTGATAATAATGTGCCAATGTTGGGTTATATCGAATTGAATCATTGAATAAACTAAGATAGTTATTTTTCATTAAAGGGTCCATGTCCTAATTGTGGTACTGAAAACACCTCATTCTTTGGGACAATATTGTCAATTTCAAGTGGTGATTCAACCAACAAAGTCAAATGTGAGAAGTAAGTATGAAACTTTTTTTGCATTATTAAGTCATTTCATTAGTTTCACTTTCTTGTTAGACATTAATTTAACATTCTAAATTTATGACTCAGCTGTGCAACTGTGATGGTATATGATTCAACTACAAGGTTGATAACATTGGCAGAAGGAAGTAATGCATAAGTGAAGGTTGCTTAATTCCTTAGAGAAGCTACCTAATTACATATGGAAGCAATGAACACTATAATTATGTGATATTTGTATAGCATACATAGAATATTTCATTGGGAGAGATGGGTTATGAGGATCCTTAACTCCAATTATTGACTTTATTAGTTAACATAATTGGTATACATTTTTTACAGAAGTCAACAACAAGAGTCTCAGCTTCAACACTAACATGAAAAATATTTTTGATCCTTACTCTCTCCATGTTGCATCATCATAATATGAGCACTTCGACTTTCTGCACTCTACACACCTTTGAAAACTTGTTGATTTTACTAATAATGGCTTCTAAACAAAACATGATGCCAACAATTGGCTTTAAATTAGAACGAAATATTATCACTACAATCTTACTGCGAGTTTTTAGGGGGCTGAAAGAATAAAAATGAGAAGCTGAGACCGTAAAATGTCAAAAATGTTCCCTAAAATTTAGAAATATATTTTTAGACATATTTTTTATATATACGTTTTAGTATTTTGTAACTGAGATACTCCCATTTTATCAAAAAATGGTGTCTAAAGTTGTATCTTAGGAATTCGAAGATGCGTCTCCATAAATTTCTGTTAATGAATTTCTTAACTATTTTAAAAATTCAGCATTTGGTTTTCTCTCGCTGAAGGAATCTAATTGAAGAAACGAGGAATGAAGGTTCCACGGCCTCCCTCTTTGAATATGATTTTAATTGAGTCTGTGGAGTAAAGAGCTATATGTTCCTCAGCCGGGACTATCTATATTGCAACTTTAGAAAGTTACAAGTTTTAAGATCAAAGGTATTGGATTTTGTGTTGGGGTCTCCTGTAAAATATGAATAAGAAGAAAATGAAGATGATACGATTAGAGCTGCATAAAGTAAATTCTAAAGCGTGTGTTTATACTAAATTTTAGGTTCGATTTGCCACCATAAATTTGGGCAAATTGAATGCAAATGTTATCCGACGAATCCCCTTCTGAATATTTTAGAAACCTTAACTTGAATTACACATTCACAGTATATTGATCAATAATATTTTACAGAATAAAATTCCTTCACTTATTTTCGTACACTAGAAATATAAGAAAATTTATTTTTGGCACTTGAAACATAGTGATTTTCGTATCTTTTTCTGTTTGAACAATATTAACAGTATTCCTTTTTCTGTTTGAATTGACAAGGAGAGACAATATTTCAATGGTTTCAATTTATGTAATTTGCGAACAGATATATATCAATAAGTGTAACTCAAATCACGAATAGTTGGGTTGCTTTGGTGGTAGGTGTACGTCCTTTTAACTCAAGGGTCATGAGTTTGGTTCAACTGATTGTAAATTTTGTATTATAATTTTATATTTTAAAATATAAATAAATAAAACATAGAATTCCTTCCAACAAGATTCAAACACAAGTCATCAATATTAACACCAACTATTTCAACCATTATGTCATTCTTTACTCAATGATAATTTTTTTCAAAACATAATATAAATTATATTTTGGAAATTCTCCAACAATCCTTCACCATTTTCAAAATATATCTCAATCTATTATTCTGAAAATTTCATGGTTTCAAATAAAGGTATCTTACGATTTGAACAGTTATTTAATAAATTAAGTTTTCACTCATCACTGAATAGATTGGTAGACAAGCTTTGAACCAATTACTCATTAGAACAAGCCTGTGTAACTCACATATGAAATCTCAGTATCATTGATCGAATTATCAATATGACACATTTAGTAAGGCCTTGTGTTTCATATTCTTTTCATGAGAATTTAAGAGTCAAGCCCTTGAACTCTAAGAAGCGGCATCACTTCATTCTCATATAGGTAGACTATATAAAAAATGCACTCATAATTATGCATTCCAGCTAACATGTATTATATGTCTATTAAGAGGAAAATCTCATCATACCACATTTATTCTTATGGTCCAAGTACTTTTATCACTTGAGACATATATATTGTCAAGTACTTCAATCACTCTAATAGTGTACTTTCATCATTGAACTCAAGACTTAACATTGACTAAGTGTGAGTTGAGTTTCTATTATTCGTGATTAATTAGATATGAGATTTTTTCACATCCCTTAACGATGTCTTCCATATATTCAGGTATATCCAAAGACATCATATCCTTGTCAATTCAGGCAAGATTTTTCAAACTTTAATAAACTTCGAATACTCAATCTTTTAAATAGTCATGTTTATGATTATTTTATGTACTTTTGATAGTATTTATCAACTATTATCAAACCATGACACATTTGTCATATTAGTACATTTATCATATGCAAAATATATTATATATTCTTGATAGTTTTGATGAACTATCACCATGACACTTTTGTCATTCATTTTGTCATATACACGAATTATTTGTCATTCTTCATTTTGCTAACTTTTAAATATGAAGTTTTACTTCCACATAAATATAAACAAAATATATTTAATACATAGCAATCGACAATCATGATCATACAAATTCGTCATGACTAACTTTTATTTTGTGAATTGAGTTCAAACATGTAATACATAAACTCCATATAAGATAACACCATAGAAATTATTTCTATTATTTTAAAATAAACAATTTTCTTGCATAAATAAAATATAAAATTGAAACATGTAATAAATATTTTTAATATTTTATTTACATCATTTTATGTTATCAATACATGCATCATTTATTCAAATTCATAATTTTGTTTTTCACCAAATTATTTCATCCACAAATAAACACATTATTAATTAAAATAAATCATTTGCACCAAAGAATACTATTTAACATATAAATTACATTTAAGTATATACCATAAACTAATTATATTCATAATCATTCAAATTCACATACTTGAATAATTTATAAGTCATGCATATAGAAATTTAATATAATTATGTACCTTTCACCATGATTAGGAATAAGGAAGCATACAAGTTTATTTCTCCATCAAAGTTGTAGTCACAAATTAACCACAAAAAATATAAATCAATATTTCATAATTTAAAAAATATATGAACTATTGTGCACCTTTCACCATCATCAAAAGTTGATATCATCTTCTTTAAAATTGCATACTTTAATGTTAATTGTAAATAAAGTATGGATCTAAATTGAAGAACGAACCTAAAGATTGTTGGATCTTGTGTTGGGGGTCTGCTACAAAATATGAACAAGAAGAAGATGAAGATGGCATGATGAGAGTTGCATAAAATAAATTCCAAAGTGTTTACACTAAGCTTTAGGTTCGATTCGCTCCCACCAATTTAGGAAAATTAGATGCAAATGGTTATCCGACGAATCCCCTTCCGGAAATTTTGGAAACCTTAACATAAATTACACATTCACATTAAGCATATTCATCAATGATATTTTACAGATCAATAAAGTTCCTTCACTTATTCTCGTGCACTAAAAAAATAAATAAGTGACTTAGATATTATTTTTGGTACTTGAAACATGGTGATTTTCGTATCCTTTTTTTGTTTGAACAAAATTCCTGTTTATAGGAAAAACTTGTAGTAATTGACATGGAGAGACAATGTTTCAATCGTTTCAATTTATGTAATTTGCAAATGGTTGTGTTGCTTCGGAGGTAGGCGTGCGTCCCTTCAACTCAAGGGTCGCGAGTTTGATTCAAATGGTTGCAAATTTTGTATTATAATTTTTTATTTTTAAATATAATCAAATAAAACATAAAATTCCTTCCAACAAGATTTAAACACAAGCCATTAACATTAACACCAACCATTTCAACCATTATGTCATTCTTTACTCAATGATATTTTTTGTCAAAACATAATATAAATTATATTTTGGAAATTCTCCAACAAAATATTTCGTTACAATAATGAACAATTACATAATATATAAGGACAAAATCAACGTAGCATTCTAGTAGTGATTGGCACTGAACATGATAGGGAGAATCACAGTTTGATCTCTCGCAGTTCGTCCCAAACCAAATTTGTCACTCCAGTGGGTTGGATATTAATGGTAAAAACCTAAAAAAATCAGCATAGCAAATAACGGTTTAGGGTAAAAACATTTCTTCGAAAGTGTATCTACGAAATCTGGACAAATTTGTATTTTTGAACAATTTTTTGAGCAAAATAGATGTGTCTCACTTGCAACGCCTTTGTTTGTGCGATTTTAAGCACGTTTGGAGATACATATTCTAACACATGATAAACATTTTAGAGTTTCTAAAGGGGTAGGGCACCCTTAAATGTAGGAAAAATAACCCCCTAAAAATTATACTTATATCACCCATGATCTTATTCCCCTTTATCACCTTACCTTAACTATTTGTAACATGGTTGATTTTTTACTCACTTGTTATAACAATCCTCAAACTGGATACACTAGACTTATTAAATGGAGTTTTCATAACCTCAATTTCATTATCATAAACGTTAATGGATGTTTCCTCAAGAAGCCCACTCGGGATGCTTTTGGTGGAGTCATCTCCAACTCTGCAGTGGCTGGGCAAAGAGGATTTTGCAGCCACATCTCATGATCATTGAATTTCCCCATACTTTAAGGCCTCTTTGACACTAAGTACAAGGGTTTCCATGATTTAGTTTTCTAGAGATATTCTTCTTTATGCATCAAACCTTAACGAGACTCCCACTAACAAGTATCACAAATATGTTGTGTTGATCCAAGACATCAATGACATGTTATACGAGAATGTACACTCGTAATCACCCTCACTCTTTTAAAATGCAATCATTTTTCACATTTTACGATCAACTTGGACGCTTCATCTAAAATAATATGTTAAAATTGATAGAATAATTAAAACCACTTCAAAAGAATTATTCAGAGTTCAGTCGCACCAAAAAATTTGATGTGTGGGACAAAAAACATTGACAACCAGACAAATGGCCTCAAGCAATAAATATAATAATATACAAAAACACATGAAATTTATTTACTCAGTTCGATCAAATCGATCTACGTATAGATGAGAAAGC